GGTTTTCCATCTTAATACATAGGAAGCTACAGACACGAAAATGTACGACTCAGTAGGTAAAAATATGCAACTGGCCTAGAAAAATAGAGCATCTATTTTCAGGTGGCGCGAAACACATGTTCATCAAGAAGAATATTAAAAAATTCATTTCCTAAGGACATCAGCCTTGGACTATTTAGGAGATAGGCTACTGAATAATGAATTGCACAGGCGGAAAAGCGTGCACTCGTGAGCTACAAGGCAATGTCATTTCCTTAGGAATAACTCAAATGTGCCAACAGTCTTGGTGTATGATACCTGAATTCTGCTCTATATCTGCAATATAATGGGTGAAGGATGTCTTTCTATAAGGCCACCTCTTTTGTATATTTATAAAACAATCCTCTGCTGCTTGTGGCTGCTTCTTGGAGAAGTGCTACAGCACAGGAATTAATTCTAAAATATACCTACAATCTAAAGACTTTTTTTGCACTTTAGATAGTTTAGCTGATCAGCAAGAACTTTCCCAGCAGTAAAATATACTCAAAATTTATCATGGAGATGATTAAGCGAGCCTTACTGAGTCATGCACTGAGCTGAGCCAGAAGGCAGGAAAATGGAAGAAAAGGAAATTATCCAACCTGATTAACAAATGAGTTAGCCAAGAAAGTCACCACAAAGGTGTCAGCTCAGAGATGGAAGACTCCCCAGTGCCCATCACTGTGCAGGAGGCCACAGACCTGGCAGCAGTCACCTCTCTGGTTTCCCCCAAACAACTCCATCAATCTGTCACACAGCCAGGCTGCCAATTCCCATTTATTTTCCCTGTGGCAGGTGGTGGTAGGCAGGTGATAGGGATGGGAGGCCTCCACAACATCATTCATCATCCGTCTTTGGAGAGCATTTCAGTGAGCACTGTATTAAGTTAAAAATGTAAATGTTGCTTTTAGTGGGGTTAATGAAATAAAGATAATATGATTTTCTAGCAGGCTGCTTCTACATTGGATGAATGGGTGAAGGTGTTTGAGAATAGTATTGATTATATTGATTGCACTTTAGAATTTTCTTGGAAGGCTGCTGTCAAAACGTTGTTCCTCAGGGACTTGATCCACCTGCTACAATTCAGCTTGGTGTATCTTTAATGTTTGCACAAGTTATTATCCCCTTCGTTCTTATGTCAAGGATGATACCCACAAAAAAAACTGTGCTAGAAGATATATTCCAGTCCTTCCACAGCTGTGTGGCTTTGAGGTTCTTACTGCAGGCTGTTTGGAAAGGAGGCCAGGAGGGCTGATGGGAGTGCTATAAACAGTGTCTGAGTTTGGAGCAGAGGGAGCTGGGGTCTGACATAGCCACCTATGCATGAAGCATAGGTCAGCTTCTCAGAGGGTACATGAGCCCACCTTCAAGGATGTTATGGCCACTGTACGGTGGGGTGACTGCCAGTTGTGTTCTCATTCCTGCCCAGCTTTCTTTCTGGTCACTGAAGAGCACCTTAGGATAGAACAATGCTTTTGTTCAGCTTCAGCCTGGGCCCTCCAGCAAGCAGAGAGAAGTGGTGGCAGCCCTCAACCTGACCCTGCTTCTAGAGGGAAGACCAGTGCCATCTGTAAGATTAAGGAGTCAAGAGTTTGTATGGTACCAGCGTTTCTGTTGCCTAAATTAATCTGATGGTATTTGCAGACTTGCATACAGAATAGTTTTCTGATTTTTGTTCCTTATTCGCCCTGTACTAGTGACTGGTCATTGCTGTGAAGCTCCTGTCTTCTTTCACTTGTGTTTGCAAGAAGAAAATAAATTGACTGAATGTTGGCTCTCAGTAAATTTAACTTGGAGGAAAACAGACTACACTTGTATCCCCAAACCTGCCTACAGGGACTTAACACATCCCCCCCTTGTCATGCCATGTAAGTGGCAAGTGAGGCGCATTGACTTTGTGCCTTTTAATGATTTGTCTTTGCTGTGTCTGTACGTGGTTTTCCTGGCCTGGCTCTCACATCCCTGATGTGGGAGCTCCAGTAGTGGTAGCATGTAAAGTGGTTTGCTTCTCTGCTGTGAAACTTACCAGCAGGTTGCAAAACACATAGGTACCAGGGTAGAAAATGTGTTCCTTGCAGAAGTGAGAACATTGTGTCTCCAAACAGTTTGATGCCTTCTCTTACGTCAAAGAGAAGAGAGTGAACGACAGGCATCCTTTTGAATTTAGGGGCAATGGATTTACAGCATTGAACCTAAGTGGAATCTCAAATCTGAGCTGGGAAAAAAAAAAAAAAAAATCAATTTAAAGGAAATGAAAGAGATTTAATAGACAAGAAGTCACAACCGTGGTGAGGGTAGCAGTAATGTGCTGCACCTGGCGATAGGAACACAGTATGCCTCCTCTGCTGCATGTTGCAGTACCCAGCATGGTGCTGGCACATGCCTAGGGCAGGAGGAAAACAAGCCAAGAAGGCTTTGCCCATATGCCCTCAGCCAAGGCTCTGGCAGGGATGTGTCCTGCCATGCCCAGAGGATGGCATACTGCAGTGGTGATAGCTGCCCACATGAGCCACCCACTTCAATAATCTATGGCCAAATTTAAATGCAAAGCCTCATAACTATGCCTGAAGAGATGTATTACACCTTAAGCCCAAGGCAATACAAACCTGCGAGACCCAGATTTGGTGACGGAGGTGGCATAAAGCTCATTTTCTCTTTTGGCTGCTGCCCTGCTCCTGCTCTGACCACAGCACCGTGCTGTGGGCACCCACTGTGCCGGGGCTGCCTTTCCTGCTGGGATGCAGAAGGGGCTCTATTTTTAGATGGATGCCAGGAATGTGTTTGGGAAGCACATCACGGAGCTGCAATTGTATGAGCTGGGGAGTTGCCAAACAACAATTTCTGTGCTCTCCCCCGGTGAGGCAGAGCTTGGTGCCTGCAGTGTGTCTCAGTAGAGACAGGTGGAGTGCTGCACCAACCTGCTGGTCAGTGCACACTGAGTGTCTGTTATGTAGAATCATAGAATTATGAGTTTCAAACTGCTGTAATGGAGGTATTCACCAGGGTACGTTACATTTGGAGGCAGGGGTTACTTTTCTTCCTTTACTAGGGGAAAACATTGTAAGTGAGGCCGCAATTTTGAGTGTGCTGCTTCCAAGACATTTGCAGATAGCAAGTGGTTTCCTGGAATAACAGCCTCTCTCAAGAGAAATGTCAAGTGCATTTAATCAGGCACATTTAGAGCTCTGCAATATCTGCAAATGAATTATTAATGCTTTCAAACCTTTTTGAATGATCCAAAAGTCATGCTGTTCGGATCATCAGCTCTGATTCAGGGCTTCTCCTTTCCACGTTGTGCACTGGAAGTTCTGCACCTTCCTGCTGCTCCCAGCCTGAGCTCTTGCTGCTCCAGAGGCACGTGGGGAGCCAAGCAAATGCAGAGTGTGGCTGGCACCGGCTGTGTCTGCGTGGATTTGAACCTCATTTAGCAAAAAGCCACAGATCAGTGTTGTGCACCTTGGGGGGAGGTAAGGGATGTTCCAGGAAATGCAGTTCCCACACGGAGCTCATAATGTCTACTCTCCAAAATGCATGATTTCCACTGAGGAAGTGGAAGATTGGTGTGGGCAGGATTAGCCCGGAGGAGCAGAGTTTGAGGCATTAGGCTTCCTGTTAGCTAGTAACAGTAGAAATGGCAGAATAATACTAGGAATTAGAGCACTGCTCAGGACGCCTGCCTTCCAGCCACAGCTCAACCGTTGGCATGTTCAGAAAGTCACAGCTGCCTCCTGTCACTTTGCCTGCAAAACAAGTGATCTTGTAGATGCTTTGAGAAATGCTGGTGACTGTCATATGTATGTGAGTCAAACTCCTTTCACTTCAATGTAGAAATACTCTTTAAAAAAATAATTGCAACAATCCAATTTCTTCAAATGAGATAATGTGGTTACATTAATTTTTGAATCAGCAAATGTTCTCATTTCATAGCCCCAGCTGACAAAATAATGGAGCCATCAAGATCCAGATGTAAACAAAACACTTGAGGTAGCATGTGACTTAGTGAGGAAAAAAGAAAACCAAAAAGGTATTAACTCTCCTGGATGCTAATACAGTGAATTCTGGTGGATGTATAGAGAATCCCTCAGATCTTCAGAAAGGTGTTTGGCAGCTTGATAGGTTGCAACCAAATACAACGTATCTGTTCGATCTGCTTGCTGAAGTATGAGAATACTGTGAAGCTGACTGCAGGCTTTAGGGGTAAGATGTGACAGAAAGAAAGCCCCTAACAAACAGCGTGCAGACCAGCTGCATCCAGGATGCTGTGAAATTGTGGCACAGAAAGGGAATTAAAAGTCTGCCTCTTCCTTTGCCTGAGGAAAGCTTGCAAGGTGGTCACTATTTTGTGCCTTATTATAACAACAAGCTTGGTAGTGTGTTTGTTATGGATTACATATTCCTTAATTAACAGCGTGGCTTCATCCTACTGTGCTCGTAAGCAAAGCATAAAGCTCAGGCAATCCAAGTGCAGTGGCCGTGGACTTGGGAGCAGTAAAGCACTGCGGTGTCTCTGCATGGGCAGAGCAGCTCGCGGATAGCAGCGTCCTGCAGTCAGGTGTAACTATCTGCTCTTCTGCAGGAGCTTGGGTTACGTGTCCAGAGGCAGCTATAGATACCAAGAGAGTGCTGCTTGTATAATATTTGCTCATTTCATTTAAAAAAAATGAATAAAGCACTTTATGATGAGATTAGCTATCTATTTTCTGAGTCTGGAAGAGGAAAGGATATAAATGTTGCTTTTTAGCTTCAAAGCAGCTTGAAACCTCTGTGTAGTTCTGTTGCACAACGTGTAACTGTTATTTGAAGCTTAACAACCCTTTCCTTTTTATGAAGACAAACCACCACAACAAAGTCCCAATGGTCTCACACCCTGTGCTAGGTTCTTACAAACTGGTGCAGTTTCTTGTGCAGAAGCTTCTCTTCTGAATTTTGTTACTTCCACAGCTGAAATGAATGACTTGCCCTTCCTCTTCTCCTTTTGTCAGACTCTGCTGGCCCAGCTGGCTGTGTGGGAGACCAGGAGTGTTGCTTCTGACCGGGTCCCCTAGACTTCAAGCAGCTCATACATTGCATGAGGGGCTATAGGACTCCTGCATGCAATGAGGAAGGCAGAATATGGCAAGGTGGGTGTTGATATCCCTTCTGCTTTGAGATGTGGCTTTATTTTTTTTCCGTACAGTCTCTGAAATAACCTGTTCCCTTATGAATGGATTTGTACAAGACTTAAGGATGCTCCAATTCCTCAGACCCTCAGCTTGTTCTCGTACCCTGATTTTTCCCTGTGCTTGCCTTGGATATGAGCCCACAGCTGCCTGGGGCTTTGGGGAGCCTGGGGCAGGGAGTGCTAACGACTGTGGTAGAAGGAAAAGGAGACTGATGGACTTAAAACTGCTATTGGCCATGCTTGACTGTGTTTCCTCTGTGTGCCATCTCAGTTGTGTCCCTGCACACCTTATAGATGGAGGTATGGTATTGCTGGGGTGTTTCAGGAGCGCTGTTTGAGCCTTACAAATCTTTCAAAACCAAGGAGATTGATTAACAGTAGGCATAACAATAGCACACTGTTAATAACTGGTGTAAAACATTGTAGTTTGGATGCAAACTCATACACTGACTTAATAAACAACATGACGAAAAAAAAGCCAACCTTAAAACATGAGCCCTACAGCCTGCTGGCTTTGTTTTCTGCTTGAGGGAAACATCAGGTTCTCTGAGTCAGGTTCCTAAGGATACCCTGTGCTCTGGGGACCACTGGTAGCACTGGGAAAGCTGCAGTGCTGCAGGCATCGGCACCAGGGAAAGAAAGTGCCGAGCCCACATGCAGCACAGCACCAAGACCCAAGGGTTGTGGTAGATGCCATCTAAAGCTCTACCTTGGCACAAAGGAGAAACAAAGGTCATTTCTGCAGAGCAGTTTTCATTACCATCTCTTCAATGCTGCTGGGCCACCATGGCTGTTGCCTGCCACTCTCCTCCCAACTGCCATAGCAACCTGGGCACCTCATGTGATGCTCCTCAGGGCTCACTTCCGTGGAGAATGTGGTGAGGATGCTCCTTATTAAATCCACCCTCGTATGTCATCATTGAAAGAAGGAAAGGAGAAGAAAAAAAGGGAAGGAAAAGGAGGAAAAAAGAGGAAAGGAAAGGAAGGGAAAGGGAAAGAGCCAATGACAAAATTATTGCTGTATTTTCTGAACCTTTTCCTGCTAATTGGTTTGCATTTATTTAGCCTGGTATCCTGCTGGTGCTCAGCATTTGTGTTGAACAGCACATCTGCATGCCTGTTGGCCTCCATGTAGGCTGTGAGTACCCAGGGCCCTATGTAGGCTCCTAATGCATAGCAGCCAGCTGCAGGACCTGACCCAGCACAGCCTCTGTTCCCACCACGGGCTCACCCAGCCCTGCACAGGGCAGTGTTGCGATCAAGGAGGATGACAGCATTAGGAATCAAAGTGAAAATGAAATGCAGTGATTTCACTTCACCAACAAGCAAGTACTCCTTGAAAAGCAACAGGTTTGTCTTTCCTTCGAGTATAAAAGCAAAACTCACTCCAGTAATTTTTTTCAGTTCTCTCCTTAAGGTTTTGACTCATCCATGTAACAGAGAAATGAAGAATTTTAATGTGGTCCAAAGCAAGAGCTCTGGATGAATTACAATCTGCAATTGCTCCAGGTATTTGTGACACTGGAAATGAACTCTTATTTCTGCAGCCTTTGTACTTTGCTTCATTAGACATTACCTCGCCAAAAATCATCCCCACCCCACTTAGCAGAGATGAGATGCTGAAGAATACCGCAGGGAGAACTACTTTTAACCATAATCCTGGAAATGCTGATGCCTGAGTTGTCCTAGTGAAAAACATGTATGACTCATGGAGTTACACAAGCACATTTAGTTCTGGAAAGTAGCTGTAGCTTTTCCAGAACATCCCCTACAGTTCTTGGCAAGAGCTTGAGAGACCTTTCACACGTCCAGGATGTCAAGTAATGTAGTGAATGATAAAGATCTGTATGCTTATGTGTATATTTAACCATCATTTAACAAAAAATACTTTTATTAGACAAGAAAGGGATATTATCATCAGTGTTAGTTCTCTGCTTGCTTTGCCTTGGGGCTTGTTTCTTTCTGCATTGTAGCCATTGTGAAAGGTGGTAGGGAATCTATCTGTAGAAATTCCCCTCTGCTCAGATAAGAAGATGCAGTTTGGTATTATTTAGAACTTTCTATAGTTTGTCTTAGCTAGAAAGATCATTTCTCTTCCCCCCACTGCCAAGAGATACAAAGTCATTAGTTACTTGGGGCTCAGTTTTCAAACAGTGTAGTGCAGTTACTGGTTGAGTTCACTTCTGACTTCCGCAAGATCTTCAGGTACTCGATACCTGGAAGATAATGCCAGTCAGTGGTATTACAACCCAGAAAAGAAGAATTATGCCACTTAATTAATACATGGTAAAATAGCAGACCTTGGAAAAAATTTTGTAGAAGTAAAAATATGTTTCAGCTTCTAATTTCTATGACTTCATCAACTCCTAGAAAGAAACACAGTCTGTTGTCCAGAAATAATTTATTCATTAACAGTAAAACACTGAATAGAAAAAGCCTTGTAAATAAAACTATATATATAATGCTTTATTTTTTTATTCGATACTCCACAAAAAACACTACAGACAGTAACAAAATAATCCAATTAATCTTAAAAATTTCAAATGATAATTGTCACTCTTCATTTATCATGTTTTATTAACAACGCAAAGGTCATTTGTTTACATATTATAGTTTTACTTGATTTCATTAAATTGTTTCTTAAAACACTTGAAGCAATTTGTTATTTGCCCCATAATTTATAACATACATAAGTATATCAATAAACAAGATAACAGCTCTGAGAAAGATATGCAGACTGTTCAATGGTAAGTAGTCTACCAGAAGTTGTGTAGTGGGAGAGCGGGAGTAAATCACAACTGAATTGGGATAGAAGTCAACACGTGGGAGAGAAATCATATTTGGAGAACAATTACATATTTTCCATTGCCCGTTTAGTAATGTGATCTCTTTCAAGCTCTGATTTCTCCTGTTTTAGATACTCCAGCACCTTTGCCAGCATATCCTCGTCCAGATACTGCCTGTTTTGCGTGTCATCGGTGTCCCCAGCCATGGAGAGCCTTTTGCTGAGCGAAGCCAGCCTCGCAGCCTCCTGTGGTCCCAGCTGGCTCAGGTGCTCTCTGATGGCCTGCTCCAGCCTCTCGTCTTCCTGCAAGTCACTTTCAGAAGCTGGAACGGGAACTCTTTTCATCTGGTTTGCGTTGATAACTTCGGGATATTTTGCCAGCATCTTTGCCAAGTAATCAGCCAGCTCTTCATCCTTCTCATCCAGTTTCTCATACTCCATTTGTCGCCTTTCCAAGTCGTTAATCCACGCAGATTTGGGAACTGGGCGTCCTTTCAGTCTTCTGGGAATGTAAGGCAGTCTTGGCAAATCATTTTCTTGATTAAGACGATTTAGTAAGTAGGAGGGATTCTGATTACCTAAATTGCCAGTTCCCAGAAGGCTGACAATGTCTTCAATATTGAGGTCTTCAGGTAGACTTTCTGGAATTGCATTAAGAGGCTGCTTCATGTACCCATTTTTAGAGTTTACAGTATTTTTAAATATGTCACTCTGTCCTAGATTAGTTTCAGTGATCTCATCGAGGTCTTCTGGGAATTCTGCTTCCTGCTCAGCTTCCAACCTTTCACTCTGGAGCTGTTTTTTCTCCCCAGCTTTGAATATATCTATTAAATCCTCTGGAGGAATTTGTAAATTCCTTGACATTTCTATTAACTGAGCTATAGACTGAGGGTTAAGTTGCTTGTCCAAAACTGTGGCTGCTCTTTTCTCCTCAAGCTCTCCTCCAGTCCTTAGTTTCCTGTTTCCAGTACTGCCCATCAGCCTCTTCAGGTAGTAATTCATTAACTTTGAAACATTCTCTGACATTTGATCTTTATTCTCTCTTCTCATTTCATCCTCAAGGAAGCTGAGTTTCCCTGACCTCTTCATTTCATCGTCAACTTCCTCTTCATGTTTGTCAATTTCCTCTTTGCTATCTTTTATCTCTTCCTGGGTTTGGCTTTCCACTTTTTCTTCTATGGGATTCCAGTCTTCTCCTCCAACCACATCTTCGTAGGCAATGTTATTTACTTTATACACATCATCTTCATCATCTGCATACAATTTCTGGTCTTCATCCAGCCTCTCCTTCTTGTGATTACTAGGTCCTGCCATCTTCCCCAACTCCTGAAACACTGATTCCAGTGTAGCAAGACTTTGGGGTGTGTATTGCTCCTCCACTATCTCATTGGTACGCTTGAAAGGACTGTCTCTTGAACTGTCTTCATAGTGGCCAAGAGGCATTTTGAGATATTTTTGCCACCTCTCAGGCCACTTGTAAGCCTCATAATCATCAGTTACTCCAGCTGGAAAGCTGTTATCCGAGCTCAGACCATAAAGTTTATTTTCCTTTGTGCCAGCTTTTGACTCCTTCTCAGCTTGCCGCAAGGCTTCCAACATAACCTTGACCCACTGAGACTCATCTTCAGTCAAAGAATCCCTTACATTTTCTGGTAGGTGAACCTGATCTTTGTTTTCTTTCTGTTGCAGGACATATGGGACATTTTGAAAGGAGTTGTAATCAGGGATGCTTTCTCCCTTGTTAGCTTGCTTGCGAAGATCTTCTATGTATTCCAAAGCTTTGATCATATCAGGATTTGGGAGCCTCTGTAAGTTTTTCATTACATAGTCTGGGTCTTTTTGAAGCAGCTGATACTGCTGGAATGAAGCTGCATCAGCCCAACAGATTAGGACAAAGAAAAAGGTGACAGCACAGGCTGCTCCAAGCTGAATGGTTTTAGTTTCTGCCATATTTAGCATACTTCCTTGAAATAAAGAAGAAGAAAAAAATAGATGGTTAATATATGGAGACAAACTTAGCAATCCGAGAAGCAAAATAGAGACTGCTATTTTAAACTGAAATGCATTACGAAGAAAATCAGTATAAATGGAGGACATGTATTTTGATGGAAATTTATTTTGAGGTTTTCTGACTCTTTCCTATGATCCCTCAGTTAAGTGTAAGCTACTGATTTGCAGTGCTAGAAACATCTGTATGTGCAGTTTTCTTTACAAACACCAGTTTTTGTGATGGCAAAGCCGAAATACAACATCAGAATCGCATACAGCTCAATGAATGCTCATAGAAGATTCTAGATATCATTTTGATCATTAAAATAAAAGCTTCAAACAGTAAAGTCAGTATGTGCACATCAAAATACAGCTCAAGATATTAATATTAAGACTGCATATAGTATTATTTTCAGTGATTGTTCCATAGGGCATCTCATTTTCTGAATGAGTAATGTCTCTTAATGGTGCTATACTGCAATAAAATTAATGTAATAAAGTGGAGAACATGGCATATGAAATGACTTGCAGGTTTATTTCTGTCATTATTCTTAGTGTTATTACCTCCTTTTGTGCTATTTCATTTAAAAAATATATTATTTGTATTGCAATTGTATTTACTTAAGAGGCTCTCTGAGTGATGCATGAAAAATCCCCCCTATATGAAGGAGAAGCTATAATTTACCCTACAAGTACAATATAATGTTACTGAAATTTTCCAAAACTGTTTTGGAAATTGACTCAAGTTAGGTTCTGAGTGTTGATTTTGTTCATTCATTCATTTGTTGAAACAGGTCCCAGGACAAACAGAGGCTTCCCATTGGCGTAAATATAGAATATAGCAGTAGAAACCCACATCTAATCAGCATGTCCAGTTTGTGACAGCCAATAATAAACTGTTTAAAAGAACATACTTGGGAAAAATATGCATCAGATTAGATTAACAAAGTTACGTCATTGCTGCATATGAGGATAGAGCTGCACAAGCCCAGTCTGCAGGGAGGTGAGCACACACTGCACTGTGAAGTGAAAAATTGCAGTCACTTATTTCCTAGGAGATGCTCAGGAGCTCATACACTGGAGCCATGAGACAAATGAGACTCTTTCCTGATGCAGTTACATTAATAAACTAAGTACAATAATGAGAAATAAATGGTAAACATAGAAACCACTTTGCTTAATGGGCCTGTTTGGGCTCCTATGTTTTTGGCTTGGTAAAACCATCCTGTCGAGAACTTGGTGATTCATGTCAGACTGATAGAGAGCTACGTATACAATTGTTTATCCACTACTGTAAGTAGAAAGTGAATATGAATATGCTCATTTCAGCTCAGTTGTACGTTTTTCCACTGCTTTTGTGCCTAACATAATGTGACTTAACTGAGTAATTAAAATAACATCAGTTGAGAGCCACTTATTTTCCTTTGTATGCCTGAGCGAGCTAACAGCCACAAGAGCAAGCCGTTTCCCCAAACGTTTATGAATACTCAAGTCTGTATACGTTTGAGAATTGATTTCATAAAGAATTAATTCAGAACAGCTGAGTGGAAAGGTGTGCCCTCTAGGTATGTGTTTGCCCTGAATCAAAGACAACACATATTGTGTCATAGACAAGGCACTATTCTGTATTTAAACAAATATGACTCAGGGCAAGAGGGAGAGAGCAGAAATAGAAAAATAACAAGGAAAACGTTATCTACATATTGCATACTGTAGCAAATAAATGTTGTTTGTTTTTTGTTTTTGTTTTTTTTTTCCTGTAAGAGCGAGTTTGATAAAAACAGGAGAAACTCTGTATTTTTTGAGGAAAGGAAGAAGGTAGAGTTGTTCTGTAATTATCTACCAGGCACATCCCATTAGGAGAGCCCAGGAGAGCAACCTCCTTTACTGCACACAGTTATGTATTTCTCCATCCGTTGTTAGAGTCAGCAGCACCCAATTAAATCTCAAAGGCATGTAACCCAGTGAAGTTCTGTTTACCGTTCCATGAAGATGTTGTTCAGAGGAATATTTCCTTTGCAGGAATAACAAGACATGGGTACTAATGTAGATAGTTGGAGTACATTTGTCTTTAGATCAATCCTCAATTCTAATTTATTGGTAGATTATATTCAGAAGCCTTTGTCAAATGGAGCTGGAAATCATTCTTCTAAAAGCTTTAAGTTCAGGTCATAAAATGTCATTAAATATACTGCTTTATCTGGCAGTTAGGGACTCCTCCCCAGTCTTTCAGGTTTCAGTTTCAAATTTTTGAGAAAACAGAAGATGTTTTAGAGTACCTTTAGAATACAGAATAAAACATTCTTACGTCTCTCAAAGGAAAATATGCTGAAATGTTTGGTCTACAGATGTGTAATTGTGAAGCTTGCATAGATGGGGAGTGTATTATTTCTTCTCTATTAGAACCCAAGAAGCAGTAAAATCAATCTCTGTCCAGCAAATATACAAGTTTCTCATTACAAAATGAAAAGATTTACTTCACAATTTAACATGAACAAAGGCAATGCAGACTGACATAAGTTCCCCGGAAAACAGACAAAACAATAAATCTTTTCTGGGATGTTTCCATGGCAGCAGCAATTTTCTCTTTCTCTGATTCAGATGCAATGTTTCCAGTGAAAATTTGCTATGAAAACTCGAAACCTTTCCTGAAGATGAGTCCTTAAGACTATGAGAGGGAATCCAGCTGCAGTTTTCCATAAAGAAAATAAGGAAATACAGCCAGCACTTCTTCTCCCATTTACTTTGGCAATAAATAGCACAACTGCAATAAAGTTGTTTTTTTAAAGCCTATCTAAGCCTTTATCCTGTGCAAGGGACTCAAAGCATGAACAAGATAAAAAGAAAGGGGGTGAGGAGGAGGGGAATAAAAACAAACAAACTACAAGCAGTTCTGAGCAAAGATAATGACTGAATGCACATGGAGAGCTAATCAGATCGTCTCTGCATCCAAGGTAACCGTGCATCCTGTATTTTGACATGGCCAAAGTGCCATGCTGATGAGCCGGCGCAACTCAATGCAATCACAGAGACGTTACGCTTCATCGCTTCAGTCTTTGATAACAGAATAAACAGATTTATAGGTCTACAATATATACATACACTCAGTTATCGCTGCAAACACCAGCTGCAACCCCATCAACTTTCTGCTGTCACTCGTGTTTAACTTAATCTGTTTTTCGTCCCTTTTTTTTTCCGATTCCTCCCTAAGCTTCACTGAGCCCGTCTCTGCCAAGATTGGGGCACCCAGTTCCCCAGCCCCGTCGGCCCCGGCCCCTGCCCGCCCGCAGCCCCTTACCTGCCAGCGCCGCGCCGCCGCCGCCGCCTTCAGCACCCGGACAGCGCCCGCTTATACCGCCCTCGGCGCGCCTGACGTCACCGCGCTCCGCTCCGCGCCCCGCCCGAGTGGCAGCGCACCGCCCAGCAGCACGGGGAGGAACGGGGCTGTCCCGGGCGGGGTGGGGCTGCGGGGGGGATAAAAACAAGAAGGAAAGGAAGAAAAAAAGAAAAAAGGGAGCGGGCGGGGGGAGAGTGGCGAATAGGGGAAAGGAAAAGAAGGGTAAGAAACGTGGGGGAAAAGGGAAAAGAAAGGAAGGATAAAAATGTGGGAAAAGAAAAATATGGGGGTTAGGAAAAGGAGGAGGAGGAAAAAGAATAAAAAGAAAAAAAAAAAAAAAAGGAAAAAAATCGAAAAATAACAACGTGAAAAATTAAAGAAAAGGGGGAAAAAACAGGAAAAAAAGGGATGGAGAATAAATAGTGAGATGAATGCGAAGGTGGGCGTGAGCCACGCTGCAAGGACGGGTGCGTGCAAGGCAGCCTAGGGTGAAGTTTGGCACGCAGCTACCTCGGTGGCGATTTTTTAAGAGCCATCGAGCTGTAGCACGGTTATGCGACAGTACAGAGGCACGGCATGGGACAGCGGGTGCAGGCGAGGCCAGCAGTGACCCCATGGGGACTCTCAGCTCTGCAGTCCCCAGGCACTGCCTGTGGGTCACAGTGTGTTCTCAGCACTGCCTGTGCAAAGGGCAGCAGTTGCATGTGAGATCGGTATGGTGAGCAAATACCTCTGCCATAAATCAGGAGGCATGGCGTGAAACATATTTCTTCAGCTTAGGCTCATTCCTTTCTGTTCCAGAAAGCATTTTACCTTGTTTTTTAATGGGTCTCCTTTTCCCTCAAATAAATCTTTTCTGACAATTTTGACCTTTTGCAGCACGAAATGGAAAAAACAAAACAAAACAAAAAAACAACCCCCCCCCCTACACCCTAGGATGAATGTACCTTCTAAAGCAGTAAATGTTAGGAAATTAAACTGACAGAAGAACAGCAAGGTAGAATTCATAGCAGCTGTGTGCACGGCCAACAGGACTGCCCTGGCTGCGTGTGCTGTGGCAGAACTGGAGGTCAGGCAGCCTCTCCTCAGCACACGTGGAGCTACCAGGAAGGTAAAGGGCCATCTTCTGTCTGTGCAAAACCCTCAGCACCTGCAGGTGGACACGGCTGATGCTGGCATTTCTTGGTCTGCTGAGAAAACAGTCATCGAGAAGAGAATAGAAACAAAAGAAAGAAGAAAATGTTCAGTTCAGAATGTCAAGAATTCTGCTGTACCTCTGCTTGTGCTTCCAGTGGACTCTTTTTCATGCATTCTACAACGAAAAGCCTGAAATTTATCTAGCAAGTTCTTTTGCATGAAATCATCGTGCTGCCCTCATCCATCCATCCACCCCGACCTCCTGCGTCGGCACGCATCTCAGACCACACTGATTAATTGGCACATCAGTACAATTCCTTCCTCTGTTCCTTAACCGCTCACTTGAGATTTGCAGTGTGTGAAGGCAGGCAGATGCTTGGCTCTGCTCTGCTCTGCACGGCGATTTTGGTTTCAGTGGGTAGAATTTACAGAAGGGTATCCATAACTGGGCTGTCAGTTTCATTCCACATAAAAACCTGAACTTCACACGGACATTGTGCTGTTGATCGGATTCACAAAGGCCTAAAACGAGGGCCTTAATGAAGGTACCTTTTTTCTTTTTTTTTTTTTCTTTTTTTTTTCATATTGAATGCATTGCTTCCTTTTCCTTGGAATGAGTCATGAAACAGAAAATTTGATCTGAGTTGTCATTAGAAGTTCCATGGCATTTTAAGGAAGAGTAAGATCACATTACAGCATCTCTGAAATTTAGGTAATTGCATTAGAACCAGCTCAGTATCAACCTCTAAGCCATAGGAGCTTGGCAATCTTTTTTTTTCTGAATTCATTCTGACCATATTGCATCCTCCTGTGTGTCCTGGGAACAGAGCAGTAATAAATGTGGCATTTGCTTTGAGTGGCTTGCCCTGTCACATGCTCTGCCTTGCACAGCTGCATGTCATGAGAAGCTAGAAGTTAATTAAACCTGAATTCTACATGTTCACGATTTCATTCCATTATATGCAAGAACCAAGGCATTGTTGCAGGAAGGATCGCCACTGCAGTCAGTAGAGGCAGGGGGAATCCAGCCCTTCTACTTTGCCATACTCATCTTGATGTCCATCACCACTACGGCCAATGCAGAAAGAGAAGCCAGGCAGCTTGGAGGAGCTGTGTCAGGAATGCTGCTGGCTGGTGACAAGGTGAGGTGGGCTCAGTGTCCTCATGCTCAGTCCCAGCAGAGGGGTGGTCACAAGAACCCTGGCTCTGTCCGGCCCATGTGAAGGGAAGCAGCAATGGGGATGGCTATAGCCATGCAGGAATAATGCTGTTGGGCTGTTAGGTCTCTGTTCTCTAAGCCCAAACCAGCTTGCACCACTTGCTTCAGCTTCAGCTCTCTTCTCACCTTATTGCTGCCACCGAACAATCAGTAACTGCTTAAAAATAAAGCAGGGTTTTGTCAATATTGACTTTTCCCCTTCCTCTGTTTCCAGTAGCAACTAAAAATAATTTACAACTCATTTACGTAGCATTTCTTACAAAAGAAGGGCTATCGTCATATTTAGAATTCATCTTTCATCTGACTTGATTATCTGCATGTATTCTGACTGTAATGAGAAGGGGGAGGTTTTCTTCCGTCAGAAAAAAAGTTCATCCATCATCACAGATACAGATTCTTTCAAAGGATTTTAATTTTAAAATACTTGACCTCCTCTCGGGACCAACATTAGACTTGTTATTTCGTGCTTATTTTTCACACTTGGGAAATCAAGCATATTTGTACGCAAATACTTTATGCCTCCCTAAATTTAGTCCATGCTAAGCGGCTCAAATTTCATAAGCAAAGCTGGAAGGGAAAGAGATAACGGCGTAAGGAAAGTGGGGGCTCTGCAGTGACCCCATCCTGTGGGTGCTGGGGCTGCTGAGTGCCTGGCGGGTGGTGGGAAGACTTGGAGGTGAGGTTGGCCATCGCTTGTGGTGGGAGAGGAGTCAAGAAGCCACCGAAGGGAGAGTGGAAGACAGCAAGTGAATCAACAGGGCAAGATCCTACTGCTGTACTTGTTCCAGTGCAGCCTCCACTTCTATTACCATGAACGAGAATAGCAACCCACCAACAGATTGAGGCGTGTGTCTTCTCCCATAGGTGCCACAGTATTTTTATCTGCAGGCCTCTCCCACACACACATACTCACGCGTTTCCTCCCGTGGAGTTTCAAGAATCTTCACCAGCCTGTGTCATCTGCTTACCAACATTAGCTGTAAAAATACCAGCAGAGCAGGCAGGGTGTTACGTTCAGCAGCCGGTGAAGATCAGGAGTCTGCTGGGAGCCGGCTGGATCGAGCTGTCGTGGTGTCAGCTCTGCGTGCGTCAGCCGGCAGGATTTAAAGTCAAAACACACATAGTGAGGGAGGAAGACAATGAGAAAGTCTGAGTCATACTCTGCTGAGGGTGAAGAGAACAGATTAATAGACAGCAAACATGAATGAAACCAAACGGCTCGTTTTAGTCATGCGGCTCCTTCTTAAACCCGAAATAGGATTTATTTTTAGTCACTGAGGATGAAAAAAGGTTTTCTTTGCACTTTGCCAAAGAGCACTAAGAGTTTTAATTAGCGTGGCCCAGGCTCTGCTTTCCTTGGCAGCTGGGCGCAGGCACAGCGGGGTGCTCAGGGTGCAGCAGTGCCCCAGCTATGTGTCACCTACGGGCTTACCGTGCAGATCACTTACCCAGCACCTCCTGGTGCTTCAGAGCTGCTGCAAGGAGCCAGGCCTGGCGTAAGAAAATGGGAGTGCAGGGCCCACATATTGTAAGTGGGAGAAGGAAGAGAAGGCAGCACAGCTCCCACTCGCAGCATCCAGGCAGCAGAGGCCACAGCATCACACATCCAGCTCATAGGGTGCTGCTGCTGCGGAGGGACGCAGTGCAGCCTTGGTGTCTGCTGGCCAAAATGGCCTTTGGTTGGCCATGGAATCTGGCACGAGGGAACACAAAGGGAATATGGGGGAGTGAACTAAGTTACAGCCACAGCAGTATGCTCACCTGTTTTTGTGACTTTTCATTTTAAATAAATGGATAGAAGCAATTTCACAGCTGTGCACAGGGATTAGTTACATTATTTAATCCTTTGCTAAATCATCTCAGCAATTCTGCTCTATAGAATCTTCACAATCTTGGGGCTAAGCCATTTCTATCCCTTAATTACATCAAAGCCTCATTAATTTTTGTGTTAATCACTCACAAACATGGAAAAGTTCTGTGATTTTGGATCTCCCTGCCTCTGGCAGAACACCTCTTCTTTGTTACCTGTTCACTTATCTGACAATGCAGGATAGAAACGAGTAGCAAAATTACCACCCATTAACCCTCCTTTTTCTTACTCATTTTTTTGAGACTCCATCCATCCTCAGAGCATGAAGTCACACACCTGCACACCTAATAGAGGCAAACATCCTCCCCCCGAGCCATTAGGGCAACGGATGCTTTGGCAACAGCGGAAGCAAGAATCTATTTGCTAAAGCTATGAGAGCAATAAGCCACACTCTGCTTCCTTGTCATAAAAGGTTATCACCATTTTCTCTTGCACTGTCTTTGCAAGCATTATTAGTTTTCATGGTGCCACTACAGAATTTTTTGTGGCCATAAGTCTGTCCTTCTTTGCCTAGAGTGTGCCTATGTAGGTTCCAGCTCTACCACTACAAAAATTTATATAGAGCTGGGTCAAAATCAAATATAGCATTTGGTCACGAATGTGACAAAAATAGAAAAAAAAACTGACTGCAAAGCACAGTACAGAGCCAATGGTATAGAATTTCTCCCCAAGGAAAACTTTTAGCCAGGAGAGGGCAAATAGATCCCAAACCACCAAATTATCTCACATGGATAAAACGGGGACACTTCATGACGTGTCCAGTTATCCGTATATTAACTTAAAGGTTAATTCAAAACAAACTGAAATGCTCACAGCAAAGAGAGAACATAAATTCACACTGTCTCATGTGCTGGCAAGCTAGTACCATCAGCATTAACACTGAGGGCTTAAATTTTGGGGCTGGGCCATACTGACTTTGCATTTCAGGATCTACAGCCAGGGAGAGCCGGCCAGCATCACAGCAGGTGTGTCCTGGCAGGCAGGACATCAGCACAGCAAATTTGTCACCTCACAGAAATTCCCTGGTCTGTGAGGGTTTAATGCTGTTACCAGGTGTGCAGGAAGCACGTTCTGAGCAGCAGAGAGGAGCAGACAACTCACCACAGGCATGTCGCAAAAGCGCACGTGGGCAAGCTACTGCGCCCAACGTGGGATGGGACCCCAGGGACGGGTACAGCTGGAAACCTGGGCACAAAGCACCCCATAATGCCTCAGAAATGACTATGCTTAATAATCATCATCAGGAAAATACAGCATTTATCCCTGGTGGTAAACCAGAAATATTTTTTCTGGGACTTCTCCCCCCCCCCGACACAGCACTGTGAACATTTGGTAAGCGCTTCTTGCTATCACTTGGTCCTGAAACGCTCTCTTGGGTTAGGGATAATGCTAGGCAGGCTGCTCTTCCCCAGCAGAAATCAAAACACTAGCATTGCCATCAATTCTCCAAGCAGGCTGAGAGCTAAATGACAGCTTGTAACACTTCTGCAAGCTGGGAAGAACATTTGCCTTGGACCTCTGTGCTGTTTTAGATAGCAGTCTTGCATTTCTCTCAGCTATCAGAGACTTGACTGGCAAGTAAAATCCATATAATTAGGAGAAAATGCTGTAATTTCCTCCTAGAGAAATCCTGCCTGTGTGCTACACATGGCTGCTAAGTGCCCTCCCAGTCCCAGGTTGCTGCCTTGCTCTTCTGCCAAGCCCTGGGCCACTGCCTGCTCCTAGGCTGGGAGACCAGCATTGGACTGGGAGAGCTCTGTGCTGGGCAAATGACCCATCCTTACCTTTCTGTGCTTGTAAGGTGCATGGAGAATCCCAAGAAGGGCGAAGCATGGATCAGGTTTTCCTTGTAGGATCTTGAAGAATGGCAGTGGGACTGCAATGCTCTCCCAGCATCGATGCCTCCTGTAATTCAGGGAGAAAAAGGCTACAAAAACAAATAAATTCAGGGAGAGACAAATGCCCAGTGAGAATGCAGCCCTTCCACCACCTCATCTAAATAAGAGTGCAGACAGCTTATGGCTACAGGCATAGCTGTGCACTCCCAGATTGAGACCAAAATAAGACTCTGTGATCGAAGGCATTTTTTTCTTGCCTCATAATGGAGGAGTAGCATTTAAAAATGAAATATGTAGAAGGAAATAGGGACAGCATATTCGCTGTATTAGCAGAAATTAACACAGCTTCTTCTATGAAAATATTAAACCTAAGCAATTTTTCCAATTGAATGAAATGTACTCAAAATGAATCATTTGTGTCCGTGTGACAGAAGGCTTGTCATGAAAACAGCTGCTTTGATGCTGGGATAGCAATGCAGGTTCAGAAGTGAAATGAAAGAGACAATGCCAAATCTGCACAATCTCAACCCAAATCTGCAGCATCTTTATTCTGGAAATTTTCTCCTGGATACACTTAAAAATCAAGCATAAACTCTATAGATGCTGTATACTTGTGTTTGGCCAGTCAGAATCTGCCAATAATGCTCTGGCTGCAAGAAATGCACTTCTCCAGCAGGATTTATTGGCTTCCATCTGAAAGAGCCCTGGCTGAGAATCTTTCACTTGGAAAAAGCCTTCACATTCACACAGGGCATTATGAACTGAGTAGGAAAAACTGACTTTTGCTGCCATAGGCATCAGTGAGCATAAGAACTCAGGTAATACTATTTTGACCTTGCCTGATGCTAGTGACATTAAATTACATGATGCTGCCAGTATCTTCCCCAGTTCTATCCTTGTTCCACATCCTGCAGTTTCAAGACCAAGCAGGTTTCCCAAGTGAGGGACAGCATGCAGGGACAGAGCCAGAGCTGCTCATGGGAGCCAGGCCGCCTCCCTTTCTACACACACTGCTGTAATTTTTCTACCTCTTCTATTTCACCATCCTAGGAAATTGCTTAGTGTGTCCCTTCCTAAAACCAACCCAGTTTTCAGGGATGATCTCTTGAGGTGGGAAGGTCTGGGTCAGTCTTTCCCACCAGACTTGTAGCACCAGATTTTTGGAGCAGTCTTGCAACCCTGTGCTACAGCCAGCACCCACAGCCATCCCACCAGCAGCAGGTCTGCATGCACAGAGGAGTCCAGAGCCAGGAGCATCTCACAAACATGACCTGCATCCCCCAGGACTTAGCAGCTACCTTCCAGAAAAAGACAGGCATCCTGTCATCTCTACCTATCACATTTGGCATGATGCTGGATCCCATAAAAGTGGCCTGGTTTGCTCAAAATAAATTATTTGTAATTCAAGGCAAAAACAATTTGTTGCAGCTATTTAAAATCAGGTCACAAAGCACTGCAATGAATTACTGTCAGGATTACCTAGAGCGTGGTTTGCGTGTGCTCCTGCGTAGATATGTAGTCAACAGGGAGCTTTTTGTCTGCCTGTGGTTTTCCACTAGTACATCTCAGAGCTGAATCAAAAGACCAGATACCATCTGGCACTGGAGATCTTGCCTGATGAACTAAATGGATTATTGACCATCCAGGGAGGTTTTTGTTATCTGTTACACAGAAGAAATGTGAAGGAAGAACTGCAGCCTGAGGAGACGTGGTAGACACTGGGAAGAGAAAGAAAGGTCTCGGTTCTCCTGGATACAGCTGCAGTACACCAGCCAGTGCAGCTGAGAAGACGAATGCTCCTCTGGAGACTACATCTAGTGAATCTGAACTGGAAAAAGCAGATGGTCCAGGGGCTGAGGCAGGAATCTTGAGTCTCACTTTCAGGATCTGTGCCAAAGGGGTGGGGTGGTAATTAAGCTGATGAACAGTGATATTAAATGTATGAAATGAGGCTTACAATATAAGAGAAATCTTAGCAAAAATAAATTGATGCAAGAAGCATAACAGAGTAAATCCCAGCATAATTAACCTGTAAGGAACCAGAAATGCAGATCCTGCTCCTAGGAATGAATCCATACACAATAATCCACACACCACACACATACAAAACATCAGTTTTCCCTGATTTTTAACCACGAAGCAAACAGCCAAATTATAGCCATGTATTTGTTTTTAAAAAGTGTTAAAACAGGAGGGTTGGCAGTACATGGTTCAGATGCATAAAACCAAACTCATTTGTCTTAATAAAAATAAAACATGCTTATGTGTTTTGAGAAGTCAGGGTTTGGAGAACGATGGATGGCCTTTAGCTAAGACTTTAAAATACAATTGAAGATTCTTAGTTCTGGTTTTATGTTGCTACTTTTGACAGCCATGGTTCAGAGACTGTACCGACAGCAGCATCAAGACAGCATCAACTTGGAAACAAAAAAGAACTGCAGAGGCTTTTCTGTGCCAGTGGCACCAGACAAAACAAAACAAAACCTCACTCATAATTATTAAAACAGTTCAATCAGTGTTCTTGCCAAAACTGACACTTTAAGAGAAAGAATCTCAACAACAAAACAAAAAAAGACCAACAGATAATATCTTTCAGGCACTCAATTCATAAAACAAACATGCAAATTTGATTGCCATGTGGATCATTGAAAGCAACATCTCTGCTGGTATCTACAGTTCACTGATAAATGTGGTATCTTCTCATGGTAATATTGCTTATTATCTGAAGACTACTGTGACCTACAGAGTAGCTTTTGATTTCATACTTTGCATTGTGCTGATGTAAGTCTTAAATTCATAAAGCGATATGAATTTTAATAATGCTGAGCAAGTCTTGCTTGACATATCAGCTGCACTAGCCTAAAAAAGATGGATCATCAGATAACAATGTTTACTTGAACCTACAGAAAAATACCTCAAAGGAATTATTTTATTAGGTGCTTGGGGTATTTTAGACAGAAAAGTATTAATTATTTTTTTTTTATTTATTTTTTTTAAGTTTTTGAATCCTTTGGTAATGAAGATGAAATTTCTGGGATGACCCTATGTCTCAGTGAGCTCTCAAGGAATTTCAAGAATGGCAAACCATTTCTTTCCAAAATTTATTTACAAGTGTTGGATGAGTGTAGAACTGTCTTGCATTCCCACATACACCTTTCTACCTTAGAGACTATAGACAGCTCTTAAAAACCTGAGGCAGTTATGGTATAAACCAAATTCTAATCATAAAATAGCATCCTAGAAAGAATCTGAAGTTCTTTTTTGCGCTTATTTATGTATATCCTCTTCATTGTATAAATGGAATTGGTAGATGTGAATGTAATTAAGGACAAGCATAGTGCATGCGTGGATGCGGGGTGGGGATAGTAAAATCCACATTTCACAGACCACCTTAATGATGACACTTCCTAACACCTAATTTCTCTGCAACCTTAATTCTCCTTCATCACGTTTTTGTAGTTTTCTCTACTGTGTCCAAGAAAATGAAACACTGATTAGGACCAGAAGAATCTGCTGTGAATTATTTATATTTCAGTATCGCTGTTTGCACAAGGATTAAGCCATTACAATAGTCTGAGGGAATACACATCATCTTTTGTGTCATTTCTTCTGGTCTGACTTAATTCAGATTAATGAATAGAACCTATACACCTAAGTAGGAATCCGTCCCACTTTTTCACAGAATCACAAAATGGCCAGGGTTGGAAGGAACCTCAAGGATCATGAATTTCCAACCCCCCCCCTGCTACATGTAGAGCCACCAACCTTCACATTTAATACTAGACCAGGCTGCCCAGGGCCCCATCCAGTCTGGCCTTGTACACCTCTAGGGACGGGGCATCCACAACCTCTCTGAGCAGCCTATTCCAGTACCTCACCACTCTCACTGTAAAGAACTTCCCCCTGACATCCAACCTAAATCTTCCCTCCCTCAACTTAAAACCATTTCCTCTTGTCCTGCAGTTATCAACCCTTTCAAAGAGTTCCCCTCCTGCTTGTAGGCTCCCTTTAGGTACTGAAAGGCTGCAATGAGCTCACCCCGCAGCCTTCTTTTCTCCAGGCTGAATAAGCCCAGCTCCCTCAGCCTGTCTTCTTTTCTTCCATGCTGATTGATGGTGCATAACAACTTCTTGCTACAATGGCATAAGTCTTTCTTAAAAACCGTTCTGAAATACATAGGTCACTCTGTAAGTACTGCCACCTATTCATTTCCATGGAAATGACAATGGATACAAAGAGCACAATAACATTATTTGATAGAGAAAATTCTCATCTGCTTTTTTTTCAACATAGTCACGAGCATTAGCTCAGCATTTTCTCCAGCAATGAACAAGAGCCTGCATCTCATGCTCATCAAAATTAGTGGAAGTGATCTGCTGTCGTCACTGCTGAAACTTACCACCCACTGCCTCAGTGACACCCCTTTGCTTCATATGCACTTCCATGTCAGACACCATTTTGTCAAACTGCCCCTCTGCTGCCACCTGTCACATGGCAACAAAATGTAATGGAATACTGGCAGAAAGGTTCAGCCTCTACTGCCGTACCACCAACATCTGCCTCTGATGTCATGGGCTCACATATTAAAATAGGAGGTATTGCTTTCCATGCAGCCCTCGTATTTTAAGAAGATTTGCTCATGACTCAAGAAAAGTAAAAAAATAAATAAGAAAAAAAGACAACAGCTTCCATTAGAATCAAAGATGCTGCAATTTATGTGATTGGTTAACATTCATGATCTCATAGAAGAGCTTTTCGTTATTCCTTTTGTAAAACCTAGGTCAAAGGTCCACACCACAAGTGGAGAGAAAGACAGCTGACTGTAAGACTGGAGAATGAAACAGAAATTTCTAAAAGTTGTGCTCACTTTTGTACTGACGTATTGGCAGCAGAGCATTAGTCAGACAGCCAGAGAGTTCTTATTTAATATAAGGATATTTGCATGCACTGCCTGACTACATTTTGATTTGAAGCTTAGTAAGGCAGGATCATTCTCTAATAATTCTCTAAGCAAGTCAGACTGATGCATTCTCCAAAGACTCGTGCCTTACGGAAAAATAATCATGA